TATTAGATCCCGGCTGTGAAAGCCTTCACGAATACAATTTTGTCATGTTTGCAAGGATCAAGCATTTCTCATCACAAACATATAGCAGCAGTATAGTAATTTTTTTAAAATAAATGGCCACCAGAGGATTGAGTGGCATTTTCAGAGAAGAAACATTTTTAAAGAAAAGCATTTTTAGACTAGTGAGGGCATAGGAGTGTGTGTTGTCTTATAGGGTCCAGAGCTAGGCATACATGCAGTTCTCAGGCCTCTGGAAGCTGCCCACCCTGATATGTAGGATTGCAGTTATTTACCACTTTATTTCAGTTATTTTACTTGATACACGCTGGTTCCCTTAGTACAAAATCACTATCTTTGAATTGTCTGTAAAGGAAGGAAACTGTCATATAATTGATTGCATCTTTCATTTGGGCTGTCAGACTTGAGTATGGTTATGAGTTGTGTCTGCTTTTCACACTAATGGCTTGCCATTTGTAACATCTAAGGGTGGGGTAGATGTTATGAGTGTCTCCATTGCCTAGCACCAAAATTCTCAGTACTGTATCACCATTCTCACCCTAGTTTCCCAGTGCATTGCTTTCTTTGAGCTATGAAAGCTCAAAGATCAGTTAGTTTAATACATGTAATGTGAATATATTCATAAAATACATTTACGATTACTGATATTACATGAGTTAACAATCTATACAGTTAATATTTAATTATGTTATTGTATATGTTGAGGCTATGATATCCATATTTTGAGGGATATTTAGCCCATTTGACTATGGACTGCTACTAAATTCACTAATATTATATCACATTTTTTTTAATGAATGAGAGCTTATTTATTACATTTTCTTGACTTAGGCAATTGACAGATGTGCAGGAATGAACCCAACTCCAATATAAATGTTCTAGTGTGGGACCACAATTGGACTCCAATGTTTATACTGTATATTTTAATATAGTTGACTCCCTCAGGGTAAACTTAGTGTTTGAAGGACCCTTTTATGTTCTCCAGCTCCTCTATTAGGAAAAAGAAATGAGTACAGCTTGCAGCTTGCTTTTGGTTTTGTCGTAAAGCTAATTTTGTATGCAACTATTGGCAATTTAGTCTACTGAAACACTAATTAAAGCTGCTTGTTTAATTGTATGTCCTCTAGCCATGTTTAAAGTAAAAATAAGACTGGAAGAACTTCATTGTTTCCAACATACCCTGACAGGTACACAGGTCAAACGGTTCCAGATAAGCTGTGGATGCTGCTCAAAATTTTTAATTTCATTTCTGTTTAAGAGGGAAATCATTATTATTTTATTTAAGGCAATAGGTTATGCTTATATATTTTATGCATTCATTTTAAGGAGACAGAGTTGAAATCAGTGCATTATTTACAGTTTATGCAAGGATCATTCTGCAGCTAGTAGTAAACTCACTAATGGGGTAAATCTACTGTGATATAATCTGTGTAATAACTCATTTGCCAGATTTCTGTTGTGAAGAAACTTTGAACTTGTCATATCTGGTATTTTTTCAATGGCAGTTTATAACACTCAAAATTTTACTGTGGGGCATCTATTTTTGTGTCTAGCTGTTACACTTTAAACATTGTTTTCCCTCCCCCAAAAAGTGAGTATAATGGAAAGTTCAGGTGTTATTTTCCAGCTCTTTTGAACTGCTGCCTTGTGCAAAGCAGTCAAGCAATTGAACTTTTGAGAACAGTGCTGTTACTGAAGTTGGCATACCATTGCATCTACTGTTACAGAAGAAAAGTTTATGCAATGGGGATTTCCTTCCACTTTCTCCCTACTCAAGTTTCAGTGCCATCTATTGAACATTAGGGTATCCTTAAAATTTAGAAACTTTCAGAAATTTGTCAGTCTTCCTTTTACCACGCTCAAACTTGATTGAAAATAATGAATGGGCTAAATCAGGGGTGTCCAACCTTTCACCTTCCCTGGGCCACATGAGAAGATGAAAATTTGGTTTGGGCCACACATAAAATAAAATAACACTAACAATACCTGATCATCCAAAAAAACCCCCCATAGAAAACATAGTTAACATATTAAACTTACTTGGAAATGAAGTTAGTGAGATGTTTGACATTGTTTCTCAGGGAGTGAAATACACTAGCTTTTACTGACATTCTCGACACCATTAATTTTCCCCATGGAGATGATCAAACATAAGCCCACAAGGACTTGCTTTCAGCCAATATAATCTCTTTCCTGTACTTCTTTTCATGTTAAAGTTAGTGACATATAATATGCCAGTTTAAGGGGAGGTCTATTGCCAGAAGAAAATCAAATCTAACTTTTCTGAGTTGATTTGTGGTCTATTTGCAAGAAGGTCCAGCAGCTAGCAAGGACCCGGCATCTCTGTTTGAGCTGCTTTTCCCCTCTCAGCACCATACATACCAACCAGTCTCGTGAGGTAGAGAAGACACAACCACAGATGGAAGACACAGTCAGCTCCTTTCAGGAGGGTCTTTTGAAAGTTTGCTGTAAACCAAAAGTTGAGCTGGCAGCACACAACAGTTGTACAGAGGGCCATATGTCCTCCATCATCAAAATGCCAGCTATGACTACAACCACAAACACACACACCATTTGTACATGGGCCTGACAGGAAAAATTGCCATTAAAAGTGGTGCACCAGCTGCACCTGTTCCATGAGATGTCTGACTTGGCTACAGTGCCACATGCCTTATGACATCACGCTTGGATGTCTGGAAAGGGCTCTATGCGGGGTTGCCTCTAAAGATGGTTCGGAAACTTCAGCTGGTTGAAAATGCAATAGCAAGACTACTGATTAGGGCTGGTGATAGGGAACATATCCTGCTACAAGAGCCGGACTCGCGTGCTTTCTAGTTTTTCCTTCTGGGTGTCTCCCGGGGGGGGGGAGTCAGAGAAGATGGCCGAGGGGGGGCTGGGGCGCAGCTGGGATTCAAGCTCCGCTGGGGGGGACTCCTGAGCCTTGGCATTGGCAGGGCCAGGAGAGGAGTCATCAGACAGTGAGGGGGAGCACGAGGGACCCCAGAAACTCATTCGTAAAGTGTCCACCTCAGGCCAGATCCAGAGCAAGGTGGGCGAGTGAGTGAGTGAGAGAATGGGGCGCGCTGCTGTCTTGGCGCGGAGAAAGGGGGGGGTCGGGCAAGGCAGGGATACTGGAGTGGAGCTCAGTGGAAGTGGTAGTGCTGCCCGAGCCGCGCCTGAGGTATGTAGCTCGGAGTGCTTTCCCTTGGAGTCGGTGGGAGCGAGGAGGGCACTGATGGGCAGTGGACAGAACCCGAGTGCCTTCCACTGATTTGTCAACGGAAGAAGGGGTGGTTGTTTGTCTTTTTTGGGGGAAGGGCTAGTTTGTTCCGAGAAAGACCCCGCCAATGGTCTCTGTCCAGAGCTGCCAGCGGCTTCTTGTTTTGTTTTATGTACTCTCTCCCTCTCCCCCCTTTCTTGGCCCGATGGTGAGAGACTTGGATCTCTTCCGTTCCTCTTCATCCTCCTCCGTCCAGCTGCATCCGCACCTGTCTCCCTCCCCCTCCTTGTGTGGCTGGAGCTTTGCCACTCCTGCTCCAGAGGAAAAGCGACTGCTGCAACCCCGGTGAATGTCAGTCCTGCTCGTTGTCGTTGCTTCTGTTTCCTTGTTTCCCTCCTCCCAGAGCTTGACGGAGAAACTAGCTGCCAGCTGAATCTGTCCAAACAAGCCGCTTCAACATTTCCCTTCCTTGGCGGCACCGCAGTTTTGAAACTCACACTGTTGCTCAGGGGGACCTTTCCTTAGCTGAATCCTTCCCTTCCCTTTTTTTCAGAGTCGAGGTGGAGAACAGAAGAGTTTTTTAAAGAAGTGTTTGTGTTATGTGCCTTTTATTCATCCCCCTTGTCTCTTCCCAAGTGTTTGTTTTCTCTGTGTTTGGACAGTACTGGAATGAAATAATCCAGATCTGTCCCCAAAGGAATACTTAAGAAGGACATGAGGCTCATGGTAACATTTTTAAAACTTCACAGGGAAAACACTCCTTTTGTCTGCAGAGCCAAGGAGACATATCCCGCGCTCCCACGGGGCGGAGGCAAGGTCCAGCAGTGCCTTTTGTTGTTTTTCTCCCAGCGGGGAGGGAAGAGGAGGGGACGGGAGGCAACGGCTCCGCTGCGTTCTGCAGTCACGTTCTGCATTTCCTGCGTTTCGGCTTCCAAACAGCCCTGGGTGCCCAGGCAGGAAGAAGCGGCCGACCGCGGGGGAGAAGGGTTGGGTCGCGCGGCGGCTGCAGCAACGCGCCTGCCCCAGATGAGCTCAGCACTGGGCGAGGGGGCAGGTGCTCAGCTGCTAGAGGGATGATGATGATGATGACGACGATGACTCGGAAGCGCCCTTGTGGTTGCGTTGCACTGGGCCACATTATGAGCCGACCTGGGCCGCATGCGGCCCGGGGGCCGTGGGTTGGATAAGACTGGTCTAAATACTAAACAGTTGTAATGTGGCTTCTTTTCTTTGACAACAGAGAGTCTCAAGGCACCTCAAAGACTAGAGGTTTTATGTACTATAAGCTTTATGAAGAAATGAGTTATGCACTGTGGAAAGCTTAAGCCAGAAAATTTATTAGGCTTTTAAGTTCACAAGACTGTTTTTGCTCTGACAGACTGACATAGTGATCCCTCAGAAGTCTTTGTGCATCTTCTAGTTCTATGCAGAGTAAATAGCAAACTAATTGTATAGTACAATTTACAAATGATGTAAATGTAATCTATTTCTTGGCTTAAATGATTCCTTGAACTTGATGGGAATCCTATTAGACTCTTCTGTTAGATGCATGACTTATATTTAGAGCAGTAGGTCAAATAAAGCAAGGTTCTGTTACATTAGATTTCAGTAAGCTCATTATATAAGAAAATCTCTCAAATTCTTTACGCACAAAGGCCAATAGCTTTTGATTCTGTGAGGAAGCATAGGTATGTTTAGAGGTTGCTGTAATTTTGGATATGTTTACTGAAATACATATTTAGAGTAGAAATGTCATTTTTAGGGAACCTAGAAACAGCAAAGCTGACAGCATGCAACGGAGGATGGACACGAAGGAGGCTCTGTTGGGAACAGAAAGAAAGAAAAATGAGGTAGATCAAAAGTAGATGGCACTTGTTATATATGGGGATGTCTCTTTAACAGGCTGCTGGTGGGAGGTGAATGGCATAAGCAATAAAAAGAAAAGGTGGATTTTAATATTGTTTTAATTTTGATAGTGCTTTTCATTCTGTTCTCAATCTGCCTATTTTAACTATGGAGATTTGTTTTAAAAATACAGTGGGAGGGGGTTTCATACCAGAGAAATTGTAGACATTTTGCCAGTGTCATGTCAGTACTTGACATGCCTAGGCAGCATAGTTTTAAAGAAAACCCACTGGCACATGTTTAAAGAGGAGAGGGGATTCTTAATACATCTTATATACTTTCAAGGTTATCACTTACCTGCCTTTCTTGTTTTATGTAATCAAATTGTTTTTGTTCATAGCAACATGAACCGTGAAGACCGGAATGCGCTGCGTATCAAAGAAAGAGAGAGGCGCAATCAAGAGATTCAACAGGGTGAAGAAGCTTTTCCACCAAACTCTCCTCTCTTTGCTGAACCATATAAAGTTGTAAGTGCATTTTAAAAAAGTTTTACTGTACTCCAGTGATTTGAAGATGATTCAGAGTTTTCTGTAATCTAATAAAGCAGGTATTTCTTTGAAAATACTTTAAATATATGTATTTAATATTGCAACTCCAAGTCTCACACCCACAAGAATTCTGTAATAGTGAGACATTCCTAAGGGGTTGCAGAATGAGAGATTTATACCTTGTGCTCCAAATGCAAGTAACACTAGAAGGAGGATCATTTTGGTAATTAAAATACCTTTAAGGTACTTGGTCCTTTTGAAATATGCTAGTGAAACATCAAAATTCAATGTAAATGGAATTGAGGAGGCTCCCTACACTTTGCAGCCCTCCTCTGTAACTTCAAAACAAACCCTATAGTGCCTGGGGATGGTGTTGGTGCCTTTCTGTTGGGGCTGCCAGGACATATTAGTGTTCTGGTGCTGTAACCATATCAACAGATCAACAATCTGTTTAAAAGAAAGAATGAAAAATGCCAGTATGCAGTTTTCCACACTTGAAAGTAGTCTGCAATTGACAAGTCCAAATGTAAGACGTCAGAATAGAAATAACTGAAATATTTGTGAAGATTACAGTTACTGTACTTTTTATCTTTGAAACAAAAATTGCAACTTTTGTTTCAAAGATAAACTGCTCTGTAGATGATAACTGGTTGAGCTTAAAGTTTTCAGTGTATGAGGATATGATTCATTATGTGTATGATATCCATTGTGATAATTTCCATCTGCTTTGTTGATGCGATTACCTAATTGTACTAATGATAACCACATTTGAAACTAGGCTTGAAGAAAAGCTGGGTTAAAAACTTGGGTCGATATAGGGTGCATTTTGTTTTTTAGTTTATTCCATTTGTCTCTGTTTTCAGTATTCTGCTCTATGAAGCTGTAGACGAGTTCTGAAATAAAAGCTATTTACGTTAAAGTTTTTTTAAACAATGAAGCATAGTAGTTGTCATTTGCAAGACATAGAGCTGTAATGAGTATTCTTGCCACTGACCATGAGACAATTCTATATGTAGGCAGGCTAGATAAACTTTCTATTTTAATGCTCAGTAAAGCAGTAGTTTGCAGTTACCTTCCTCCAAGAGATCCTGTAATGTGCATGTGGATCCCACCCTCTGTGCTTGTTTGATTTCCAGTCAGCTGCCAATTGATTATATAATCTGAACACAGAAATGTGTTAGCACTTTCCTGTTGGAAATGCAGAGGTCCTTGGGGAATGGAAGAAGCATGGGGAAGAATCAGTTCTTTTCTTCCATTTTCACTTTTCTCTAGTGCTTCTCTAACTGAGGAGGAGAGTGAGAAAGGAGAGAGGAAAGAGTACAATGTGGTGCTTCTGCTCCTTTTGCATCTTGCCCTTGTGTTTTTCAAAACAATTACCTCTCCATACAGAGTTGAAGTGTAGGATGTTCTAGAAAATGGTTTTTGCCGTCCTAAGAGAGATCATTATTCTGGTTGACCAGCAGTCACTGAAGAAATGTTGTAAATCTTTTAACTGTTAAATATGTTTGAAAGAGATGACGGGAAATGCAGACGTTGCCAAAAGTAAAAAATTCTTCAATTTTTTTTATATTTTATTTGAAACATCAGGTATAATGTAGGCATGACTGGAGGTGACAGATATAGAGTGTGATTAAGCAAGAGTAGAATACAAGTTACCTAGAACCAACTGTATTAATGAAGGTTATGAGCATTATAGTGAATCTTTGCAGTCCAAAGAAATACATTTTTGTCTAGTGTGTTTATATATTGTGCTTATATTTTACAGCTTTTAGGAATTTTTGAATTTTGAAGGATATTTTATTAATTTATTTTACTTTGAAGCTTAGTTTATATTTAAGTGGACAGTTTCAAGTCAGAAGTTCACACAGCATTTCTTCTGACGTAAGAAGCTTTTGGAGCCTTCGAAGTAAACCAAATATAGCTTGGCCGGCAGCTGTCTCATTGGGTTTGATTCTAGGGCTGCATAGATCCTAAGTGGACATGGCATGTCCTAAGGGTTTTAAAGGAGGGATCCTGAAAGTCCGGAAGCAAAGTTCACCTTCTGGTCTTCTGCAAAGTCAATCAGCACAGCAAGCAACAATGTATCTTACAAGTAGAGGGATCTCCTAAGACAGTTTATCACTGATTATATATCGTGACCTTATTTGCTCATTACTACAATAATAAATAGAAGGACTATTTTATTATTTTCTTTACTTTAAAGAGCTGTTACTTTATGAGATTTAAGTGTTGATAATATGTACATTTTAAAACATTTTAAAGGCATTTCATTATCTTGTTTCTAATGTATTAAATTTTTACTGTAAAATTGAAATTAAAGCTTTTTTTGAATATGTCAAAAGAGAGAAAGTTTCACAAGAGCAATATGGTTTAGAACTTTAAAAAGTAATTATTAATTGCTGGAATTTAATATATATTAAATATATTTTCTATTACACTCACAGACCAGCAAAGAAGATAAATTGTCTAGCCGTATCCAAAGTATGCTTGGAAATTATGATGAAATGAAGGATTTTATAGGTGACCGGTCACTGCAGAAGCTTGTTGGAACAGTACCATCAACACCAGATGAAAAATCAAATCCAAGTTTCTTTGGTGATCAGAGGCACAATACTGGTTCGCATCAGAGCAACAAATGGACACCTGTGGGTCCAGCACCTAGCACTTCTTCCCAGTCACAGAAACGGTCTTCAGGTTTACAGAGTGGACATGGTAGCCAACGCAGCAGTGGCAGCAGCTCTAGCAGTAGTGGTCAGAGGCATGATCGTGACACATATGGCAGTAGCGGGAGCAGCAGTAGCCGCAAAAAAGCCCAGCATGGATCTGAACACTCAAAGTCCCGTTCCTCCAGCCCTGGAAAACAATCGGCTGTTTCTTCTCTGAACCCTACTCATTCCAGATCTCATGGAAGTGATCATCACAGCAAAGAGCATCAGCGCTCAAAATCTCCACGAGACCCTGATGCCAACTGGGATTCACCCTCCCGTGTACATTCATTTTCTAGTGGTAGCCAATCTTTTCCTCCTTCACTCATGTCAAAATCTAACACAATGTTGCAGAAACCTACTGCCTATGTAAGGCCTATGGATGGTCAGGAATCCATGGAACCAAAGCTATCATCTGAACACTACAGTAGCCAGACTCACAACAACAATATGAATGAACTGAAACCTAGTAGCAAAGCACATCTAACAAAACTGAAAATTCCTTCTCAGCCACTTGATGTAAGTTGACTTTTAAAAATGAGTTACGGAGTGGAGAGAGTTATTACATAGTCACTCTCATGACTTATTCCATAGATTAAGGAAGTTTACCAAAAGAATACCTGCACCAGAATTGAAATTCAGTAGTAATAAATGCATTTAACTGAATAGAAGAGTAAAGATTTTTAAAGCTTCAATTTCCCCCATGTTTGTTCTAATTCTTTGATGGTTGAAAGATTTATAACCTTCTCTACTGTCATTTTGTTACTGAGCATTGGTAATGTTTGCACAGCAGCGTTTTAGTTTTGTGAACACATGGCTCTAATAGCTTGAAATGCACACTGGTTTTGAAGTCATAATCAATATAAAACATTACATTGATTTTAATTACAGCTCAAGTGAGCTTCTGGTCAGATATAAAATGGTGCTAAACATTAATGTGTAATATATAGTAGTTTGCTAAGAAACATGGCCTCATCTTCATCCTAGTCACAGATTACTGTAAGATGGATTCCTTCCATTCACAGAAAACCTTTGATCTGAAGGAAGAGAGTCCCACACACAGAATGAGGTGGGAAGAGAAAAGAATTTTCATCTGCCTCTCCTGCCCCCTAATGCCTCCTGCAGATAATGTTCCAAAGGATTGGAAAACAGTATCTGATAGTGTTGAGGGCTTCTGAGAGAGGGGAGAGTTCAGCAGGAACTGCTTCCCCATCTTCTGTCAAAAATTCAGAGTGGGTGCTTGTTTCAGTAGAAGGAAACTGGATCCAGCATTCCATGTTTAAATAACAAAAGCAAAATATGTCTGTATTGTTCCTCTTTGCATTAGGCACACCTCTTCTGCAAAAACTGGGGGTGTTACTTTTCAGTCTGTTACATACCCTGTTTCCCTGAAAATAAGCCCTAGTATGATTTTTCAGGATGCTCATAATATAAGCCCTAACCCAAAAATACAGTGGTGCCTCTCTTAATAACGATAACCCATTCCAGGGAAATTGCCTTGCGAAAACATCGTAAAGTGAAATTAAAAACCCCATGGAAACGCATTGAATGGGTTCCAATGGGGTAAAAACTCACCGTCCAGCGAAGATCCTCCATATGGCAGCCATTTTTGCTGCTGTATAGTGAGGAATCCGTCCCTAAACACAGCGGGGATCCATTTTAAGCACCCGGCGGCCATTTTGAAATACCGATGATCAGCTGTTTTTGATAGTCATAAAGCAAAAAACAGTTCCCGAAGCAGGGAACCGATCATCGCTAAGCGAAATCCCCCCATTTAGACCATTGTTTTGCGAGCGCAATTGCGATAGCAAAAAGATCACCGTAAAGCAGATTCGTTGTAATGCGGGGCAATCGTTAAGTGAGGCACCACTGTAAGCCCCAGTTAAGTGAAACCCCACCCTCCACCATTGTGTAGCAAACCAGAAGATGACATGACTGTATTTGAATAAATGTAGATTGTTGTACATGAAAAAAATTACACATCCCCTGAGAATAAGCCCTAATGCGTTTTTGGGAGCAAAAATTAATATAAAAGTGTGTCATTTTTGGGAAAACAAGACATTAGGATAAAATTAAGAGATAATATACGTAATTGCAACTATAAATTGCAGTATTTATTTTTGTACTTCGAATTAAATAATTCTTTATACCTCTGGGATTTTCTTTTTTCTCTGAGGGGGCCAAGAATGAATGGATATAAAAACTGGGTTGTATCAAAATATTTTCAGTATACCTCAGAAAGAAGGTAATGAAATCTATATTGTTTAGAATGCTGTTTTTTAGTGGGAATTTAGAAAGGGATTTTTTTCTTTTAAATTGTATGTAAGGGACATTGAATGAGAAATTAAAGTTAAGTGTGTTTGCAAATTATTAAAGGAGGTGCCACTAGAAAAGTTAAGCGTGAAAGCTGGAGTTAGAGAGAAAGTTGTGACTTCGGCATTCTTTTAAATACATCTGGGTCTACCTGCTTCTTGTACCATAAGTGTCAGTTCCTTTCAGTACTTGTTTTGGATAGTCAGTCCTGAATTTGAACTGTGTATTAGGTTGTCTTTAGAATAAGGAATTTTCTACATGTGTTCAAATATTGAAATAGAGATAAATTTGTTAGCATTGACAGTGTTTGTCTCATTGCTGATTTGCAGGCGTCAGCATCTGGTGACATGAGCAGTGTGGATGAAATTCTAAAAGTAAGTTGCATGCTTATTTTGACTTTCAGGATTTATTAGGTAAATATATGGATTTTTTTTCATTCAGTCAGAATAGATTGCTTTAATATATTACTAAAATTTTCATTCATATTTAAATATTTGTGTAGGAAAAGTACATTTGTATTTTAAAACTAGTAATGAAAAAGAAGTCAGAAAATTCTTTAGTTTGTTTGGACATTGCAGAGTTTCTGCTGTATGCATAAAAAGTGCTACCTGCCTATTGTAGATTTTATTAGATTATATTACATTATATTAGATCCAGACTTAATCTTCTGTTTGCAGAAGACTAAATTCAGCACAAGAGAATATGATGGAAAATCCTTAGACCCTTTGAATGTGCTTTTTGAGTGCAGCAAGAGAAAACAGAATCACCCTGTTTCCCTTCTCCAGTGAGGGGTAGCCTATGAGTGGATTTTTAAAATGTTATTTATTTATCAAGCATGTTAAATTGATTTTATTCTTCAGAATATCAGAAGGCTGTAAAATGGGCTCTAGGCAGAATGACTAATACTGGTTTTTAGGAGAACAAAGAAAGCCTTCAGTAAAATGGCTATATCTAAAGACATGAATCACTTAATACAAGGAAGGACACTCCTCCAGAAATTAAGTGTCTTGAATCATTACTGTTTCAAAGGTACGGGCAAGTACAGTGGTGCCTCGCATAGCGAGGTGAATCCGTTCCGGATTCACCCTCGCTATGGGAAACATCACTCAACGGAACAAAAAAATCCATTAAAACGCATTAAACTTGGTTTAATGCGTTCCAATGGGCCCTAAACGTACCGTTGAGTGAAGCTTCTCCATAGGGGCGGCCATTTTCGCGCCCTCGGTAAGCGAGGGCGCGGCGGGAAAAGGTGCAGCAGCCCTTTTGGAACCGCCGATCAGCTGTTCTCCCCCGCTTTGTTGTGCGAAAATCGCTAAGCGAATCACTTAGCGATCGTCGCACAGCGAAAAAACGCCATAGGGGCCATCGCTGAGCGAACGCTCCAGCGATGGCCCGGACCCCCTCGCTATGCGAATTCATCACTCAATGGAGCGATCGCTAAGCGAGGCACCACTGTACCTTGTTTTGGACTCAAAAGCAAAACAGGCAGTCAGTGCGAGTCCTTTGAAGTTAGTGTAATATGATTTTCCCCAGCAACATATTAGAATTCTGATAGTTGCATCAAGTGAAGCAACCTAATGTGTAAGGTTTTACTGAAATCTGACTGGAAAATTACCAGGCAATCAATTACAGTGACTAAGATGTCCCTGTCTAGAAATGGTTGTAATTGTCGAGCCAGCTGAAGCTGGCAATATATACTCAATGCTGCTTCAGTTTAAGTTACCTTTCCAGTGTAGGAAGTACCCACAATCAGTGCTATCGAGAACAAGTGCCCTCATTTTCTAAATATGTGACTTAACCTTCCACAGTGCCCATCCTGTTAGGATTTAGGTTATATATTGGCCCCCATTATCAAAGCTGGATATTGATTTAGCACCTACATGAGACACCTGACTGTGGTGACAGCAAGAACTGGAGTTTGCAGATAGTCTGAATCCAGTCCAATATCTGAAATCCTGTTGGCGGAGCTGCATGTTGAAAATTGTAATTATGTCATCATTAGGCAGTGCTAATCTTTAATTTTGTTTAATTTAAAAGTTTGCTATCGCACTTCCCTCAGGTTCTGAGGCTCCCTACGGATCTCTCTTGACCTGGGGAAGCCTCTGGGAGCTTTGGGACAGTGGAAGCCTTTCATATTTGAAAATCACTGCCAAGACCAGGACTGCTGGTGTCATTTTCCAGTTATTAAAGGCTCCATTCCCACTATCTTGAGGCTCCTGAAGATTTCCTCCCTAGGGACCCTCAAAATCTGGGTAGGGGCAGGAATAGGCAACTTTAAATTAAATTAAAGGTTAAATTGCCTAATAATAATATAATTTATTGTCATTGTAAGTATATACTAATGATTACTTTATCAGCATTTATGACATTCAGTTCCGCTAATGGAATTTTAGTTATTGAATTTTAAAATTATATTTAAGAAACAATTGTTATTCCCTATCTGTTTTTCCCCTTGCCCACTCCTTCAAAGCTAAACCATTTTAGTAAGTTTTATTCTCTGAATTATGTGCTGTCAATTGGTCATTGATGGTTTCCTAGCATTGATAGTAATTCAGACATTTTTAGTATTTAAATTTTAATGTCTTAAGATGGTTCTTTCCTTTTACAATAAAATGAAAGTAAACTAATGTTGCCTATCATTGATTTATATTCACAACAGGAGATGACTCATATTTGGCCGCCTCCACTTACTGCTATTCATACACCTTGCAAAAGTGAACCTTCAAAGTTTCCATTCCCAACAAAGGTTAGTGAACATTGTAACAGTTTAATAATTGTAGATAGATCTACAGTTGGAAGTCTGCTTTTTATTAATTTCAATTTCCATATTAAGGTTGTAATCGTCTATCTTATCATTGTGTGCTCTTTTATTGGCATCAGCCTGTTTGTGGTCTTGAAAGTCCTGGCTTTTTCACTATTGGTTCTACCAACTGTAATTTTTTTCCCTAGAACAAGTTTACATATCCTTTCTAACAGGCATATATTTAATGCATTCAGACCAATAGGTTACAAATGATTTATTGACATTCTTTTTCTGTTAAGTCATTCTGGCTGTGTCTTTCCCTGTTTATAGTACTTTGTGTTCATTTAGATGTCTTCGTATCTTGTTGGACCAGTTAAACATAAATCATCAGAAGTAAATTTGTGAGGCTTATCCTTGCCCTCCTCGACATACTGCAGGTCACTAAAGTGGTCCAAAAAGATACTACAATTGTGTAGTACATTTAAAGTTGGTGTGGACTGTCTCAGTGGGACTGAGGGCCATTTTACAGGAGGAGGATGCTCCTAGGTTTTATCTAAAGACATGAGCAGATTAATATAAGGAAGGGGACTCCTTTAGGAATTCGTGCCTGAATCATTAAGCTTTCAAAGGTACGAACAAGTATCTTGTTCTGGACTCAAAAACAAAATAGGTGGTCAATACCGGTCCTTCAAGGACTCCAAGGGCTAATTTGTTATGTACTATAAAGGGGTGTGTGCATTATGGTTGTGTATGGTGAAGTTTGCTGCAATTGAATTATGTTAGTTGAAAAATAGGTCTAACAGAAAAATGTTTTTAAATTTTAAAAAATCCTCCTAGTGCTCATTAGTAGCAAAAATAAAAAAATCGGGAGGAATGAAGGGGTATGGGAAGGGCATTGGTGTTGTCCCCCTTCCTTGTAAAACATGACTGTTATCTAACCATATTTTATTGCAACTAAATGAAGTACAAACAGTAGTGGATTTCTCTCAGTCATTTAATGTGGCTACTAGTGACAAGTAACCACAGTAGCTTGTCAGCTTACATCAAGTCATTTCTGTTTTCCAGGAGGGACATGTTAATAGATTCTGTGTAATCCTACACAAGGCAAATACGTATTTCATCCACCTTCTTCATGCTTAGAAATAGTCACTTGGTTATTTCAGTAAAGATTACTTTGGTAAGAGGATCTGTCATATGAACAGTGACCCTAAACATAGGAGGCAAATGATAAATTTTCAAGATTTTTGTGGCAGTGGAGTTTGGAGAAGATTCAGATTTAAGTGGCATGTTAAAATAGGAGTATGCAACTTGGTTTCCTTCAACTATTGAGGATAAAGGCTTCCATCACTCAAACCCTCATGTTCTGTAGTAAGTCAAAACATCAGAAGGCTGCCAGGTTGCTTTTCCCAGGTTTAAATAAAGTCATTGTAGTTTTCATGTACTGTATGTATTATTTTAAAAATTAAATGATGAAAGACAAGCATGATAAAAGCTTTCCTTTTTTCAGTATTTTCTGTTAAAATGCTGAGTAGCTTTTTTTTTTTTACAGGAAACTCAGCAGTCCAATTTTGGTACTGGAGAACAAAGTAAGTGTGTGTCCAATTTCTCTGTGCTTCTAGTGATCTACACATTGCCTTTTTATGTTCTGATTCTCTTGAGATGCTGCCCTTTCTCCAAGTAAATATTTAGCAGTGGCTTCTTGGAATACTGGGCATCTTCAAGATTGTGGGAAGATTATATTCTTTCTTTACATTATTCTAGCAGTTATTGCTAATACATGATTTAAGAATATTTAGTGAAGTGCATAGTAATTATTTTATTCACCTTAAGAATTTGTTAGAGTTACAGGTTTCTCAAGATATATCGTTAGTACTTTTTTAGAGTTGTGGGTATCAAAATTTTTCTTCCTCCTTTAGGTGAGAAAGATAAGTAGCAGAACAGCTACACTTCCAGCCTACTTATGTTTCCCTTATTGGGGCATAATTCAAAGCAACCAGCGCCTGTTAGAAATTTGTTTGAGCCTCTGCCAGCTCTTGCTCTTCTGTGTTATTGAGCTGCTTCCAGCTATTTAAACAAAAGTGCTGGCTTTTTCTAAAATGTTAACCAAATGTCAACTGTCGGTAAAACAGGACGGCACCATTTAATTTGTAGGATCACGCTGTATCTTTTTAAACTCCAACAGCTAATCTGATTAAGTAGGCAAAGCGGAAGTTGTTATTTTTGGAATGTGGCTCAATTCAGACGCCAGAGAACAGATTGCCAACTGTGGTCTGGTGATCAAGTAGATGCCTGCAGACTCTCAAACCTTAGCCTTCCTTCATTCTTCCTCATGCCCCCCCCCTTCTTGGGATATACATGAGTAGTGTCGCATGATGGCTGAATCAAGTGGATGGTGGTTAGTACTGAGTCAGCCATCACTTAAGTTATTTGAAGCCACAAGCTGTGGTAACTGTTTCAAATTTGAATGTTTCGAGCCTTGCTTCTCTGTGTTCTTCTTTATTCTTGGCATTCTTCCTAATGATTAATCAATCAATCAATCAATTAATCCCATTAGGAATTAGAATAGAGTAATTCTGACATTCTCCCAAAAAAATCAGAACAATAGTGTTCTGTTTGAATGTTTTCTTGCTTCTGTCCACTAGAGACTTTTCTAAGAATAGTAAGCCTACTGCTGGCGGCACTACCATGACTGCAGCAGCTAGAGAATCACTTGCTTTATTCAGTTATTTGTTGAAAGTTGCATTGCTTGCAGCCCCACCTAGTGCATCTCTTAGTGACACAGATAATCTCAGTGTAAATATTCTCTCCTTCAGGTACAAATAAAACAAGTATTGAAGGTACACAATAATTGTCTCTGTTAATGCTTGCAATCCTGTTGGGTGTGGTCCAGCTGCACAATAGAAACGACATCAGCAGCTGCTTCAGTTTTCCCCCCGTTAAAGGTTTTCTTATGAAGTTTCAGGGTTTATATGGTTTTGTCACATTTTGTGTGAGCTGTGTGCATTCTAAAATCACAAAGGAAGCCTTTAGTCAGCGGCAACCTGCCGTGGCTCATGATGTCATTTCCTTTGCACAAGTTGACTGCACCCAACAGGATTTCAGCTATTCTTGCTCTGTAAAAGCATATGATTATTTAATTGGGGGCAGCATGCTAGGATGAAGTGTTTTAAGTTATGCATATTACTTTTATTATGGCCGGGAAAAGGCTTCTTGCTTAGCTGTTTCACACCAGTGATGATAATGCTGCTGGTGCAGCAAAGAGAACAGTGTTGCCAGCCAGTGCGTTACTCGGTTGTACTTTTTGTCTAGGTGTATATCTGAACTTTTGTTAAGAGAAGAATTTCTTTATATTTACAAGTGAAACAAGACATATATGGTTGTATCACTTCCTAGTCTATGAATCGTGTCATTCTTAGTTTTTTCATTTCTAGGACTCATCTAGGGCAGAGGTGTGAAATTCAGTTTCATCTTGGACCACATCAGCATTAGGGTTGCCCTCAAAGGGCCAATTGTATCTCTTAGACCAGTGGTCCCCAACCTTGGGCCTCCAGATGTTCCTGGACTACAACTCTCAGAAGCCTTCACCACCACCTCTGCTGGCCAGGATTTCTGGGAATTGAAGTCCAAGAACATCTGGAGGCCCAAGGCTGGGGACCACTGTGTTAGACTACGTAAATGTATCTACTCTTTATCATATTAAATATAATCCTCCTCATTTCATTATTATTAGTTTTTGTAATAACGTAAGTAATAACTAGCTCTGGGAGTAAAAGTCTTTGATCCAAGTCTAGAAATATAAGAACGGGAGTGGGCAATAGCGAGGACTACATTTCCCAAGGTGCTGTATGCTGCCCAAGTGGCTGCACTTTCTGACTCTTCATTGCTTGGAATGCTGGGATTAGAAGTCCCGTTGGGTAGATTCCCAGCATCCTTGTAGAGCATTATGGGTGACTGAGTAAGTGCCTGTGTATTGTATACTATACAGTAGGTGGCAACACTGTGAGGGTCACATGAAATGGGTGGGCGGCCCGGGTTCAGCCCACGGGCCTTGTGTTTAACACATGATCTAGGGTATACTTAATTGTGTAATGTGTTTTCATGATAATGATGGTGAATTGTGTTGCTCAGGGAATTGAGTAAGAGGAACAGGAAAAGATTAATGTATCAGGATTGAGATGTATCTGCTGGACCGTTACACGGTAACACCATTGCATTGTGTCTGATGTAATGCAGTAGTATAGCACAGACTCTGTCTGACTCTAACCAAGGGGTGTCCAACCTTTCACCTTCCCTGGGCCACATTAGAAGATGAAAATTTTGTTTGGGCCGCACATACATTAGGTTTGGGACGCATGGGGGGGCAGCCCTAGCCGTCCTCTGCAGCCCCGCTCCAAGCATGCTTACCAGCAGCTGCGATCTCAGACAGCAGAGGCTGCCAGCTTCGACTCTGGTGGCTTTATGGGGCCGGGAGGGGGTCCACCTATTGACGGAGACGGCGCAATGCAGTCATGCAGCCCCCTCTCCCCGCCCCTCCCGCTCCTTCCTTCCTTCTCTCTCTCCCCCCCTACCGTTGTGATGTGCCCCAGCTGCATTCGGCCGCAAGTGCCGGCAGTGTAACTTGAAATTTTGGAATTTTTTTAAAAATAAAAAATTGCGCTGGGCCGCATTATGAGCTGACCTGGGCCACATGCGGCCCTCGGGCCGCAGGTTGGACAAGCCTGCTCTAACCCATTCATGTTTCCAAATGTATCATTGGATAGTTTATATGCCTTTATAGGCTGGAATCCTGTTTGTTGAGGGGTGATCTAACACGCCAGCATAAATGTGTCAGGCATTCCACCTCAGGAACAAGGACTGCACAAGTTGATTGCACAGTCTGTTGTGCATTTCATGTTTTGACCAGTTACATAATGTTCTAGTGGAACTGCATCATAAACAGCACTTCTGCCTTGGTGTGATTGCAGATACTGTAGGTGTAATGTCAACAAGATTTCAGCCATAGTTTAGTTTTAAATTGCTCTTAGTTTTAAGTTTCTATTGTATTTCGTTTCCTTACATTTTAGAACGATACAATCCTTCATCAAAAGCATCAAATGGCCATCAGTCTAAACCGTAAGTGTGCCATATTAGTTTCTTTCCAATGTTCATAGAATATGGCGAGTGTATTTGTGTGTGTGTGTGCGCGCGCGCGTGCGTGCGAGTGAAATAGAAACAGCCAGATCAGTTCCCTGGGGAGTAATTATTACAAAGAACCTGTGTAATTATATGTCTTTTACTCTTTTATCCTCAATATATGTTTAAGAGTAAAGTGGGAGTTGTTAGTACTTACATTGTTAGTATACAAAGCTGTCACTTCCATATGAACATGTAGTATCAGAGTGCACTTAATTCTGAATATGTTACTTTATATACTTATCAACCATGGCACCTGTCCTAGAAGGCCCTAGTTAAGCCAAAATTTGTCCCCAGGACTTCTCCCTGAGCATTCTGACTTGGTGCTCATAATATCTTGAAAGTGCAGCACAACTGTTGGGCCAGCCTCTTCCCACTTTCTCTAAACCTGCAGTCAAGGAAGAGAGTCGGGGAGAGAGTGGTTGTTACGACCAGATAGGCAGGGAATAAATGAAATAAATAAATAAATAAATAAAAATAAATTCTTTGGGAGTGGAGCTACAAAAGCACTACATGCCATTTAGTGATGCAAAATCTGAACCCTCAGTCTTTCTGTCAAAGTTTTTCTCTGTACTTGCAAGCATAGTGTTACCACAGAGCTGCTCCTATCTTTCCACCAACTGTGTGCTGAAGAGAAAGGCAGGAGATTCTTTGCATCTTGTTTCCCAGAGATGGTTGCAACACTCACTTTCACAAGCACAGTGAATGTGATTTTTTGGTCCTTGACTAAAACTTTCAGAAGTTTGAAAAACATATACTTTCCTGTTCTTCCTTGAAATTATTTCAGATAATCCTGGGGGCTTGCAGCTACTTTTGATTTTCCCAAATAAAGGCATGTTCAAATCTGAAAACATGACTATCAGTCTTTCATTTGGACCTTTATAAATTTGGAAGGCTAATCATTAATTTCCATTTGAGGTGTTCCCTTGAGCTGTGAATACTGAGATTAGGTTATTTGAAATCCTCCACCCACCCCAGAGCCCTTCATCATCATTTATTTTCCTTTTAGGTTTTCATGGATTTCCAGAAGTTAGAGCTAGTCTACTGACAATCTTTAGGAATGGTCAGGCTGAATGCTGGGATAGTTATATTGTCTGGTATTTCTCACTAGTAATTATTGCACCATCAGTATACATGACATTTTACAAAGTTTGTTTACTCATTGGGACTTTCTTCATTTCTTACAGTCAGTTGACGAACTAAATTAAATTTAATCTTTAAGATAATAGGTCCTTTCCCAAGGAATACAGTTTAGAAGGGAGTGGTATACAAGAAGATATGATTGCACTTATTTTTCTGTATCACTGTTTTGTTTTGGGAACATGATAGGCAAAGGGTTGAACTAAAATTACAGAAGAAAGATGTTAAACTGCTGAGTGGTCAGATGTTCCTTCAGGGATGGTGGCAGAGTTGCTTTGAAAAGCTTTCTTATGTTCAAAACTCGTGGCGCAGTGGTTAAAACGCTGTACTGCAGCTAACACTGTGCTCACGACCTGGGGTTCAAATCCCAGGTAGCCGGCTCAAGGTTGACTCAGCCTTCCATCCTTCCGAGGTCGGTAAAATGAGTACCCAACTTGCTGGGGGGGCAATGTGTAGCCTGTATAATTAAATTGTAAACCGCCCGGAGAGTGCTTGTAGCGCTATGGGGCAGTATATAAGTCCAATAAATAAATAAAATAAATAAATAAAACTCTCTGCAAATAGAAAACTAACATAGAAGGCAACTAAGAAGGTGAAATTTCTCCCCAGTGAAATGTTTTTGATCTGGAGGGATGTTGGTGTGTATGTGTGTGTCTGCAAGAGGCTGAATTTTTAAACTGTTGTCCTCACAAGGAATTTGAAATGGATTACATGTTCTGCTGTCTTTATTTGAATCTCATTCTGCTTCATGTGGATGTCTAACTTGAGTATAGTAAACTCTTTAGCAACCAATGTTCATGTTTATTTGCACTGCAAAACTACCTGTTAAAGAATTGTAATCCTGTTTCTGTTTCTGTTCCAGTTGTGAACCAAACCAGACAGAGTAAGATGCCATGTTTCTTCCGGTGATGTCATGTATTGCTCTTAAATTCTTAATTTAAATTAATTCTGATGCTACTTTTTAAATACAATTAGTTACAATTTAGACAAGATGCAGGAGCTTTTTTCCAATTTAGTACTGTAATGTGTAAATTGTTAATTCACATATTAGCTAGGGCTTTCATAGCAAGAAAAGTATGAAAGAACTCAAGTATTGGCTTTTAATTTTGTTCAAAATAGTTAAAGAAATGATGAATCTAGAAATGGTTTATTCACTTAGGATGCCAATACTGTGGACACTGTATCTCCATCTATACTAATCAAGCTTCCCATTCTGCTAGACCCATATCTGTTGTGTGATCCCTTTATTCAACATTTTTCTTACCCACTCTGATTTCCTTCTCCCCTTCCCCTTTTAGTGCTGATTATATTGGTTTATGACAGCATCTAATCATGACGGCAGACTAAACTTCATTCATACCCTCTTTGCCCAGAGTATGAAGTATCAATCCATGAATTTGATACTTGCTTTTTTGAGTTAATATTAATTTATTATAGCAGCATTACACTGGTACAAGTAGAGATCCCTGACTTTATTGATATGAATAGGGTTCTGTTCAAGGCCACTGTCAGTATTCAGCCCACACTGTGCTGCTTTTCCATTGACATCTTGTATAGTGCAGTTTTATAGATGCAGTTGCACCATCCAGAGTTTTTGCACTGATGCCTTGTGGGGCTTCTTTGTTGCATCGGTGTCACGGCAACTATTTAATGCCTTCTACCATAAATTATCTTGCATTTGTTTTTGTCTGTTTTTTTCCTTCTCTGGCAAGTCAGAGTCAGACTGTTGAGTATCTTACTTCCTGTTAATGATATATGCACTTAACTTCAGGATAATTGTTCACTAGAGTACCATTCCATTGTGAAAATACTGTGAAATAAATCATTACAAAGTTTCAGTTAGTTTCTGGTAGACAATTTTAACAACTCTTTCTTTTTTCTAGCGTTCTGATAAATGACTTGAAACTCAGCAGCAGTGAAGATAGCGATGGTGAACAGGTTATTGTTGTGTTTGTTTCTTTATTTTTGTATTACCACCTCTATGACTACTGTTCTGTTTTTTGCTATTCTGTCCAGCTATGCAAAGGGATTTACAAAATAACTGAAACTGTGGAATGAAAAGTATTAACTATAGATAGGTGTAACTAAAATAAACACAACATTCTTAGATGATAACAGTGAAACAAAAGTCCCAGGCAGATACATATCAAGGAATTCTGGCATACTTCATCTGCTTTATTTAAATTGGTGGGGGGAGATGGTGAAGGACCTCCAAGCACCACAATATTAATTTCCTGATTGCCAAGTTATTTAAGACTTCAGAGGTTAAAACAGTACATTGGGTTGTACTCACAAATGTACCTGTGTCAGGTGCTTGGTAGATATACTGTAAGAGAATAAGTAGAATAATAACACCGATTTGAGAATATAGGAAAGCAGGTATTTCTGTGCATATGAAAGACATGTCAGTTGACATGCAGAGCCTACAAAAGATGTTTGAAGTAGTATGTCCCTCTTTGGACTATTCATTGATCTCATGTTGATCTCTAATTCTATTCACTTGTAAATCTGACAAGTATTTTATTGCCTTCATTTTTATAGATGGGTGGTATTTATTTGAATCACATACAGTTACTACATTATTTCAGTGCCCTTAATGAGTGTTCTGAACTTGGTGCAAGGATAGTGAAATACTAATTTGGGTCTTTTATTTTAATTACAGGACTCTGATAAGACAGTGCCAAGAAGTACACCTGGAAGGTATTATAAATTAATATCCAGTTTTATATAATGGCATTGAACTGGCAGTGATGGACAGTTCAAATCCAGGGTGTAATGTTTGTATTAAAGCAAGGCTCAGTTAGGGTGTAACTGAGTGATAGAACAAATACATTGAGTTCAGAGTGTCCCAAATTCAGTCCCTGGCTGGAAGTTCTGGAGAGTCATGATTTACTAGCCACAGGTCTGATGTTTCTTGGGTACCTATAGTGTGCTTCAGCAGGCTAGGAAAAACATTACGATTTTTCTTAAGAGTTAAGGATTATTTGTGTTTTCATAGCATGGGTAATAAAGATACCAGTCTCTCTTTGTTCTGTTTCCTTTCCCCCTAGTAATTCTGAACCATCCCAACATACAAGTGAAGGAGCAGATAATTCTAGGGATGACTCAAGCAGTCATAGTGGATCTGAGAGCAGCTCTGGTTCAGACTCTGAAAGTGAAAGTAGTTCCAGTGACAGTGAGGCAAATGAGCCATCGCAGAGTGCATCTCCAGAGGTAAGGTTTTCCTGTTCAAGCTATCGGTGATACTTTGGTCCCTCTGTTCTCAATACAGCAATGATTAAAATAAAATAGAGTAAATTAATATTTGAAGGGGGGGGGAAACACTTGAATGTTTCATTTCAGCTCTTTATCTAATTGTAACCCTAACCTTAAGTTTCATCTTCACTCTTTCTTTTCTAAGTTGGAACATCCAGCATAAAGTATAATTACGTTAAACATCCCATAATTTAAATGACAGTCTATTCCAACAAGTCTGTCACCAGATATGACATTTTTTATCCTAATAGCAAAAATGTTGGTTGCTGGCCTTTCATTTTGGAAGCAAAATGGGGCTACACAAAGTTAAGGTTGGATTTGTACGCATTTGTACATGGAGAATAAAAAACCCCATTTAACCAAAAGGGAGCTAGGAGAAACAAATCCCAGTAGCCCTGTGAGCATACCAGGCTTCCAGCATATTGAATGTTTTATGGGGAATGAATTATAGAGTAATTCGTTAAACTCTTTGGAGAGATCCCACAAAGTTCATATTGAGTGCCAAAAAGAGGAAGTCCTGCCTTTGTTGCCACCTTTTTGGGGGAACCAGCAATGAACTGTTAACCAGTCACAGATACGGTGGAGTGTCAACTGTTTTATAATTTGCTCTTATCTCTGTCTTCAAGAAAGGAAAGGAAAGGCCCTAAAGAAACTAGATAGCATTAATTACAGTGGTCACTGAAATTTACAGTGCGTGATTGTCAGTGTGCATGTTGGGAACTGGATTTATTTGATCCAATTACTGACAGCTTATAATAAGTCTTTGAGAGATTGGGCATGGATGATACTTATCTTGAGTTTGAAACCTTCCTTCTGTGTGGTATGAAAGGATATTTAAGGAACGAGGAATTTTAAAAATGATAGCATATCCCATCTCCCACTTCTTTAGCAAATAATGTGCTTGTGCCCACTTGAATTGGTAGTTTGCCTATAAATTGATAGGCAGCCAGTAAGTTAAAGAGCAAAAGCCTTATGTTTTAGGTCCCATTTATTTGTTACAAAATTGCCAAATATTCCATACAATCTGAAGCAACTATGCTTGTCTGGGAGAAGTGTCTTTTTTAGACAGATTCCCAAGTGGCAAGCTGTTTCTGCTACAGCTGTTTGATCAAGACCACCCAGCATTCATTAGAATTGGCAGTTACTTCTCTAGGACCACAGGAATGGGAAAGATAATAGAAAGCCACAGCCTCAAATTTGCAGGACTGTATTGAAAGGTTCCCATTTTTCATTGGCACAGCTTATTAACCACAAAAAAAAAGAAAGAAAGAAAAAAGAAAAAGATCATAGAGGTTTTGTCATTGTTTCTTTCTTTTCTTTAGCCTGAGCCGCCTCCAGCAAACAAGTGGCAGCTTGACAACTGGCTGAACAAGGTGAATCCACACAAAGTATCCCCAGCTTCTTCCGTGGACAGTAACATCCCACCCACCCAGAGTTACAAAAAAGAAAGTAGAGATCAGAACACAGGAAGTGGCTATGGAGATCAGAGTGGATCTAAAGATTCCATTTCTTCCACTCCTGGAAGAGATTCCAAAACCAGCCAGAAAGGATCAGAAAGCAACCGTGGCAGACAAAGGTCACCTGCTCAGAGTGATAGCATGACCCAAAGGAGGACTGTAGGTAAAAAGCAGCCCAAAAAGACAGAGAAACCGTCTGTAGAAGAGCCAAGAGGGGGACTAAAAATAGAAAGTGAAACCCCATTGGATATGACAACAAACATACCCTCTAACAGGCACAAAGCAGCGACAAAGGGCTCCAGAAAGCCCAACATAAAGAAAGAGCCTAAGTCTTCTCCTCGGCCTACAACAGAGAAAAAGAAATGCAAGGTTACAGCCAAGCCCACCCAGAAGTCTAAGGAATTCATAGAAACAGATACCTCATCTTCTGATTCTGATGAGAATGAGAGCCTCCCTCCTTCATCACAAACTCCTAAATATTCTGAGAGCAATAGGACTCCTGTTAAACCCTCCATGGAGGAGGATGACAGCTTTTTGCGGCAAAAAATATTCTCTCCTATGGAAGAGAAGGAACTCCTTTCACCACTCAGTGATCCTGATGAAAGATACCCTCTTATTGTGAAGATTGACTTAAGCCTCTTAACCAGAATACCAGGGAAGCCTTACAAAGACACAGACCCATCAAAAGTTGAGAGGAAGAACGTGTCTGAAAAACATCCAAAGGAGCCCCAGAAAACATCTTCTGACAAAAACTCCAACAAGGGCAAAAGAAAGCATAAGTTATGTCAGGTCAGTTTTCAGTATCCCATTTTAGTTTTCTCAGCCAAGTGGTGGGTGAAGTTGTCTTTTAAACTTGATGGCCTTTCTGTGTAATGTAGCAGCTTCCAACCTTGGGTAACCCAAATGTTCTTGGACTGCAACTCCCAGAAACCCTGGCCAGCACATCTGATAGTGAAGGCTTCTGGAAGTCCAAGAACTCCCGGATTGCCCAAGGTTGGGAAATCACTAATGTAATACATGGTTAACTGGCCTCATTAAAAAACACTGGGAGCTGATCTGGGGTTTTTAATTTTTGAAAGATACACATGCACTTAATAGAAAATGTTTTAACTTCTGTGAGTGTGCAGTGGTGAAGGATATTTGAAACAAAAGACATTGTTATTCATTGTAATGTGAATTTGCTGTTGTACTTTGAAGGAACCAAAGGACTATTCTTAGTGACTAAAACTTGTAAATAGTGGTGTGATTAGTAGGTTGACCAAAATGCGTGTTGATATCTGTCTGACTATATATAATCTAATGAAACATGTAGTCAACAAAGAATGTGCTCAATCCACTCAACTTCAGAGACAGTGAAAGGAGACAACCAATATTGCCCAAATTTATTCTACTTCTGATATTCATCCATGCTTCCAATATCTAAACATGTGTACATTCAGAGAGTAAAGGTTTGACTTTCCATACGCAACATTGCAGTCAAACAGTAGGTAGGGTTGCTAGTCTGGAGGAATGATAATCACCAGGGCTAGAAAAATGCACCCGTCCACTCATCTGTGACAAGTGAAAAATGCTGCTCAACAAGCCTCTCTCTCTCTCTCTCTCTCTCATCCTCCCCTCCCCCCTCCCATTGCAAAAAGAAAACTGCTTGCGAGAACAGAGTTCGAGCGGCGCATAGAGATATAGATCTGCAGGAGAATGTAGAGTAGCCCCATGCTGGAGAATATGGAGATTCCCTGTTCCCTATTGCAACCGAACGAGGACACATGCTGGGGTGGGAGGGAACCGTGGCTCCTTAAGAGGCCAGGCGCTTTTGCTTTCAGTATTATTTTTGCTGGAGACATTCAAAAAAAAGGCATTCAAAATACAAGCTTTATGACCCCACAGGCATGCAGGTAATTAAGCAACCCAAGTAATATAATTTATTTTGGGTTTGTATGCATTGTTACGTAGAAATAAAAATGAACAAGTGCCTAGTTTAAATTTGTTAACATAAATTGCAAGACTATAGTCCGGTCATGCTGACTGGTGAAGTTTTTGACTGACTGTTGAGACATTCTAAAATTTTTCAAGCCCTGATAATCACTCAAAGGAAAAAGAGAAGGCAAACCTGGAGATTTTAATATGCCCCCCAAGAATATCCAATATTATATCATGTCAAGAAAGAAAAAGAGCTCCAGGAATAACTTTAGTCAAAGTTGAGGAATCAGAGCTGATCAAATCTGTTATTTCCATAACAGACTTAATAAAAATAAGAACAGACATGTTAATAAGAATGTATGTCTAAGACACAAAAGCAGTTTGAGAATTCCAGTTTTTTCTAGTGGTGTCTGCTATACTATGTGATTAAAAACAACAAAATATTAGCCTAAATAGTTTATACAGGGATCTGTGGAACTTATTAGAATTGAAGATCCAGCCCAGTAATTGTTGAGACTTATTTTCAGTGGGAATTTGGTGAGTCAACTCCACCATATGTTCCATTGATTGAGTGGCCCTACTTTATTCTGGTTTACTGCTAGATTTCAGCCGGTGTCTCAATACAGAATTAGGATTTATACTGTTTTCTCCATAATGAGACATTTGAGCTGTAACACGTTTTAAATTAAAGCTGTCATCACACAGGGTTTTTTTGGGGAAATTATCAATAAAAATTTTACCAAAAAATTTAAAAACCTGATTTAAATTTAAAAATCCAATTTAAATTAATTTTTAAAAAATATATATTTTCATCTGCTCTGTTTGTTAGCCGTAGTTTCTTGTTTTGTCCAAATGTTAAACCACTCTTGGATGAATTAGGGAGCTACAGCTAGTAAGAGTTCTTGATTTGAATGTTCATGCACAAGAGGTGCTGTGTGCGTGTACAAAAGGGTCATTTGCATTTGAGGCGTAATAGATGATATAGAGTGAGCACATGAAATTAGGGTGAATTTTTAAAATTATGTCTAATTACTTTTACAGTTCATCCAAAGTTTTTTTTTAAAGTTAAAAAACACAGTTAATTGCTATGGAAATGTTTCCTTTCAATTTTAAAAGGCCTATTCCTCCACTGTTTGGGACTACATAATCAAATTTTGATGTTCAATTATTATGTAAAATGTATGTTGGTAGAAATCTCCAAGTGGAGGGGATTTGGTCTTTAATGTGCCCTATAATTATGCAAGAGAAGATTGACAGGTTTCTCAAGACACTAGATTTAATATGAAATGTAAACAATCTTTGTGTTGGATGTGTTTTTGTAGGCCATAGTACAGAGATGGTGAACCTTTTTGAGCCCGAGTGCCCAAACGGCAACACAAAGCCAAGTTATTTATTTTGAAGTGCCAACACTGCAATTAAGCCTGAATACTGAGTTTTTAGTTTAGAAAAAATAACTCATGTCATTTACACATTTTGTCTGTCTGGTTCTTTATTGATTCCTCCAACTGACAGCTCTTTTAGAAAAAAGTCAAGTGGAAAATGCTACACTGAATTAAATGTACCCTATTTATAAAGCTGATTAAGTACATTGAAATCCTGAACTTGTTTCCTCCAAAGTAAGCTACCCTCAGAAAAGCAGCTATATATAGGAATGCAAATTTTTAAAGGGTATACCTACATTTTATACACTACATAAAGCGTATACACACATTTCACTTGTTTGAAATGTAGTGTTGGAAAAGAGATTTACAGATATCATGACTTGTCAGAAAGATAAGTAAAGCAAATTAAGTGTGAACTCTCACTAGAAGCTAAAATAACCAAGCAAAGGGTCTTGTACTACAGTGGTGTCATGAGAAGACAAGCTCGCTGGAAAAGGCAGCAATGCAGGAAAAAGTGCAATGCAGGAGGAAAAGAGGAAGACTGCACATGAGATGGATTGACTCAATAAAGAAAGCCACAGTCTTTTGTTTGTAAGACCTTTTGTTTGGTGTTGCAGTCAAAGCAGGACCAGG